TCAATTCTCACCGAGCGAGTATTGGATGCGGTCGGAATCGAAGCCGCGGCAACTTTATCAATTAAAACTTGCCGGGAACTAGTTGGAAACTAGCAACAAACCTAACCTACTTCAATCCGCAGTTATTTTGACCTATATTGTTCCGATTGTAAACGGTGCATTCCTACCGTTTAGATGACGAGCCTCCCCCCCCCACCCCCAATTTCCATTCAGAACCACGAACAGAAGGGGCGAGTGAGGGAAAGTTAAGAGGAATACATTCGTTTATTCAATTTTGAGTATCCATGTTATGAAATTTGACGTCGCTTTCAGCCGCAATCAGGCAACTCGCATCAGGATCCCTCTCATATTTTATTTTTTTGCACAAGAAAATAAACGATGCTTTAAGGTAAAGTTGTGATTGTATATTATTTATGATCTATGGAAAATTCACAGGAATTTTCTCAAAACGACATGCTATTCACTGGAAAAAAACGCATTGGATCTAGAGTCCAGCAGACTCTAAAAAACATCGACAAGAAAAAGTACTCTTGATTCAATCAAAATCTAGCTTAAATCAAGAACCAAGCCTCTTAATTTAAGCGGATTTCGTTTTGATTCAAGCAAAAATCCGATTGAATCAAGAGTATTTCATCTTGTCAATGTTTTCAAGAGTCTGGAATCTGGATAAAATGTGTTTTTTCCCCAGTGTTTGGTTCTCTGTCAAATAAATAAAACATGAGAAGACATCATGTAACGTGAAATGCAGTTTGGCTGATTTTGGTCAACCGTCTAACTATATTTCATTTTGAGACATGTTGATATTTTCAGTCGTGATATCTTTACGCCCTCTGTAATAAATTGTGGAGCCCTCTAAGTTTGAATATTTGCAAAAATGAAATTTAGAGCATTTGTGTTTCTTGATTGCAAAAAAGGAAGCGGAATAGACACACGAAAAGTGTGGAAGTAATGTTTTTCGCTATTTCGCCTTCAATTTTCGAGCTAGGCCAGAAAACACCCCCCGCACGCAGCCACTCGTATTCACAATCTGTTCGAAAATTCGTGTCTGGTAGGGTCTAAGAAACTTGCTTTGCAAGTGAACGAAGTCAGACTCCACCTGATGATTTCAATGCTAACCCTGATTTCTTCTTAGTTTTTTTTGAGATTTTTGATGAACATTGAGAAATACAAAAATACTAATCCATCCCCATCCCATCCCTCTTCAGAAAATCAGTGCTTTCCTATAGCACCTTGTGTGCACTGCGCGTGAAATGTCACTGTTTGGTAGAACAAAATTGTAGAGAGAGTAGATTGGTTGATTGATAGATACGTTCATTTTAGAGCTGAGAGGACCAATGTGCGAAACTGTTCATATTTCTAACTGTTACCAAGGATGTCACCAGTGGTAACAAATTCTGGCCATGGCAAAGCCCTCCTCAGCCGGAGGGAGGTAACGATAGAGTCATCTGATGCAAGTAGTGAATATCGTACCCGCACTTTAATGCGGCTAAGGAAATTCATGCAGCATCTAATGATTCTACATAAACAGTAATTTTATCAATTCCTATTATTAATATGTTTTTAACGGGAGAGAGGGTCTGAGGTCTCCTTTTGGCTTGGCCCCGTGTCCGGCGCAAGTGGTCTGTAAATGCTGTGCTATGCAATGACAGAAAGGAGGAAAGAGAGTTCAGATGGTCAGGATAACTTATCATTGCCCTCGATTGTCAGGGTCACTTTCCACCTGAACCGTGCGAGTTGAATTAAGCGCCGAACTGCGGCCAACACCGATGCCAAACTAGTAGTTCTTCTGATGTAAGCAAATAAGCAAATATAAACATTCACGAGTGACATTTTTATCATGCAAAGTTACTCTATATGGATTCTCTTCCAAATTTTATAGAGAACGATATTCAAAATCTTTCAAACTAAAGTCTAACGCTATCAGAATCCGCTATCCGAATCTAAAACGCTCATCAGAAATGTTATCGATTTTTATTTGAAAATTTCTCAATACGTGTACTACAAATGGACGTATTTCTGTCAAACGGAACTAAGCGCCATAGGGGAAGGAAGGTAGAGGGGAGCTTGGATTGGCGGCGGAATCGGGCGTCGGGCTCATTCCGTCCTATACTCGCAATGCTTTTCCATGGCGCTTAGTTCCGTTTGACAGAACGCGCTATCCGGCATTCTAAAATCCTCAAAAGGAACTCAAATTGGCGCTTAGTTCCGTTTGACAGAAATACGTCCAAATATCAATATAGGTTTTTTGGCCATGCAAATTTCCTCGTGCTGCATTTTTTAATCCTACAAGAAAAAATTGAAACAAAAAACAAGTTTGAATAAATTGTATCTATGCTCTTCGCGAGCGTGTAATTATTAAGCGACGGATGTTCAAAATCTAGTTTGCAAAAAAATAAACAAACACGAAGATGAGAGAAAGATCGACAGAGCTAAACAAACGGAGGTTGGCGAAAAGAAGCAGAGCATGTGAAAAGAGGTGAGACCAGGAACAATGGTGATACGCACCGTTAATCCCGCTCATTTGGACGTGGAAATTAAGCATCGGCAATTTGACCGGGGGAAACAGGAACCCGTCCAACACTCCAGCTCCTCGTCCGTTAAGACACCTGTTCGGTGCCAAACTTCTCGGCACTTTTTAGAAAGTTCAGGTCCGAGTATTCTTGGAAATTTGGGCCTCTATTTAAATGAGTCATTTGCGGATTTCACTCAACGTCGTTTCTGATGATGACTAACATTTATAAAATAAAAAAGTGTGCATTATTCGCTGTAACTGGGACTGGAAGTGACACTGAACGTGGCATCATCAACCATACTCAATCTGGACTTTTGCTAGTGAAAAACTCGCGGAGATATATGCTAGATGTGAAGGAGGCTTTCATTGAAAAATGAATCTGCCTCATTCCCTTTATAAAATATCGACGTATTGATTGATCCGGTATATATATCCCAGCGGAATTGCTCCATTTTCAGTCTGCCCTCTTTGTCTATCGGTACGTCTATCAATTTCAATAATCAAACCGTTGCTGAATTTTTGTATTTCCTTGATGAGCTTTCAGCAATACGTTTGACGGCGCGTAGCGCGGGAAATTCTAGGCGAACCACCCGTCTATAGGAACCACTGGAACCACCCGTCTATAGGAACCACCTGTCTATCGGAACCACCCGTTTCAACCAATAGGATCGCTTCATCCTCCCTGTGTCTTTTTTGTCTATCGCTATGTCTATCGATTTCAATAATCAGCCCACTGCTGAATTTTGTTATTTCCTTGATGAACTTTTCGCTACGTTTGACGGCTCGTGGTGCGAGAAATTCGCGGCGAACCCGTCGAGACGCGCGTGTCGCGATTCGCGAGTGGCGTGCGTGAGGCGTCGCGTCGCGATCTGATACACGCGCTCAACACGAGTCATTAACATGGGCGTTTAGCGCGCGAGCCGCTCGGACGAGGAGCAGACAACGCTTCGCGAAAAGAATTGCGTGCAGAAACTTTATTACCCCTCGCCAATTGACTCGTTTACACTTTTGTCCCACAGCTCACTCCGTGCGGTGACAGAGTCACACCGAAAAAAAAACTTCGGCTGTGGGGGTCGTTCTTACGGTCTTCATGGACATACAGTCAACATTCCGGGCTCAGAGGCCGAAAGTTCCGGTCGTAGCATCCGGAGCAGTCGAGGCTACGGCTCCAGCACCCGGTGCTTTTGGCCACTGAGCCCGGAACGGACGGTATGTCTACATAGACAGTAAATTTATTTTTTCAGTGCATGGCGAATTTTCATTACCCTACGAGGAAACAATCGAAGTGCATAATTAGTGAAATACACTCCAAGTTTTACTCTGAGATATTTATCAGTATATTAAAAAGTAAAATGACATAACATACAGAAAATGCATATCTCAATTCTTTAAGAAGTTATGTTTTCTTTGTATGCTCTCCTTCTACTCTTCCCCAAATGACAAACATATTGTACATACACATCTTGATGACTTCTTGGTCTTCACCTCTTAATGATTTCCTATGATGCACCCATATTCTTTGATCTCCTGATTTATCTTACAATTTTGTGTGTGAAGGCACACTTTCATGGTCAGTGGTTTACGCTATTGAATAACAATATGACTACACTGAAAAAAATAATATGCTGTTTTAGCATCTAGGATGTCAAAAATGTGTCTGGTGATCCAAAGATGTTGCCTTTACTGCCTTTGCAGTTAACTTTACATCCTGTGAATGCAAAGTCAACTGCGTAGGCAATCAAGGCAGCATCCTAGGATCACCAGACACATTTTTGACATCCTAGGTGCTAAAACAGCATACCATTTTTTTCAGTGTACATATTAAGTTTACATCTGAAAGTCTGAATATATCAAAATTTACATCAAGGAACTCTTCAACGATATTTTTCTTAGTGCTAATGAGAATATGAGTATAATTTGACCTGGAAAAATACTTGAAGACACAGATACTATAATCTAATGTAACAAATAAAATGCATAATAAAAATGACACAAAGCACAAGCAGAATGTCAAGAATATCCTCTATGTATTTATGGTCCCTTTTTGTAGCGGGCTGATTGTTGAAATTGATAGACAAAGTGATAAACAAAGAAGACATAAGGCGTATGGAGCGATCCTATTGGTTGAAATAGGTGGCTCTCATAGACTAAGATAGAAATTGTTGGACTTATAAGGTCTCTCGTGGGTCGCCGTTAGTTAGTATTTTACATACTTCCTTTGTCGATTGCAACTCCTTGCTTCCACCGATTCCTTCGTATTCTTTTTGTCTTCATTGTCTATGGCTTTGCCTACCAATTCAACAATTGACCCGCTGATCTTGAAAAATATACTTAAAATCGGAAATTGTCGATAAAGTATTTTAATTAATAGATGTCAATTGTGAGCTAATATTATTTTATATTTTAAGATAGTTGTCTAATTTTTAGTACATTGCCTGACATGTTTTTCTGTTTGATTTAACTGAAATACAGACTTTGATGGTTGCAGGCTGTGGAGAACTTTATACGCGGAGCCATCGAATTGTGGGCGGTCATAGTTCCTCTTTCGGATCTCATCCTTGGCAAGTAAGAGACATTTATTTTCCTCAAACTCAACTCTAGCATGTTTTTCTCATACGTTATCATCTGGTGATAAAAAGTGCTTCATTACTAAATATCCGAGAGACTTTCAACTTTGTGAAGGGATCTCTCCGAGTAATTTTAAAACGTGCCGCTTTTGTTTGCATTCCTAAACTTGACAGTTCAATCATTAGCTATGTCCAATGATTAAATTTATCATCAATCATCATCAGGTGAGTAGTAGCGTTAGCTTCCAAACTTAACTTTTCACCAGAGTACTTTAATTAGATAATTGGTGCGAGATCTCCGAAATATGTCTTGTTCCTATAGTAAACGCGAATTTATTCAGAATTGATTTTTTGGGATTAAAATAAGATTTTTGTGGTTACATAACGTTTTCCAAAAAAATCGCACCTTTCAAAAACTCAAGCCTCCCAAACCCCTCTTAAATTATGATCTCGGTTTGTTTTAGGTCTAAAATATGTTTAGCGTGTAAAAAAACACAAAACTGCTAATTTATATCAATTTTCGTCCATAACTGTCGTCACAATCAAGAAAGAACGGGATTTTGGCTATTATTTCAGGAGCTTTAAATTTGGAGGTGAGCATTTTTGGGGAATACTCCATAAAACAAAAAACCAGTGTCGCCACAAAATTTTGAACATTAAATTCCCCGACACATCCCTGATTTGCCTGACACATTTTGGTGAAATTCCCTGACAATTGAACAAATGCCAGATTTTTAAAAAGAAATAGTTAGAAATAGTTTTCAGGCAAAATTTGTTGTGCAACTTCAAATCCACTCCAGGAAGCGAATGTAGGCGATTTGACGATTTTTCCTCGACATTTTCGTCATATCCCCTGACATCTCCAGATTTTCCCTGACTTTTTAAAATTCCCTGACATTTCCCAGTGTTCCCTGACTGTGGCAACCCTGAAAAACTTCTCATTTGGATCCTAACAATCCACGCTGAAAATATCCGCGTTCAACTTTGCTGTATATTTTATTTTAAGAAAACTCGGAGCCGAAAACGTATGAGCGCGAAAATACCCCGCGGTGGTGGCTCGAAAAAAGCCCCGTCCGGCGGGGCGGGCGGGAGGGCAAGGGGAAAAAGGACGGAACCGGTCGGATTAAATCACAAGATAAAGCGAAAGAAAGTGAGAGTGTCGTAACGAAGAGTGTTAGAAAGTGTATTACGTAAGTTAAGACGATCGGATCGATAGAGTGATGGTCCCATGCCCGGGCCGTGGTCGCCGCTGAGGATGACCTTAACCGTTATTTTACCATACTCGGCCGTCTTCCATGTCGCTGCCGCGCTCGCGTTACCTTGACCATCCTCGGACCCGAGTCGGGCATCCAGTTGCTCCACCGTAATCGTCTTGTTGACTCCTGGTTACTCACCATTGATTGATAGTCTGCGGGCTGATTGTTGAAATTGATAGACAAAGCTATAGACAAAGAGGACATAATAAGTATGGAGCGATCCTATTGGTTTATTTGGGTGGTTCTTGTAGACTAAGGGAGAAAATTATGGACTTAATGGAGGGACTCTCGTGGGTTGCCGTTAGTTAGTCTATTACCTTATACTTTGTCCATTGCAACCACCCGCTGCCACCAATAGGATCCCTCCATATCCCTTTTGTCATCTCTATCCATAACTCTGTCTATCAATTCCAACAATCAGCCCGTAGGCTTAGCATTTTCATTTGTTTGGACAGACAGTTTTTGGCTTGATGATACAAGCGTTTGTGTTTTAAAACAATGGGTCCGTTGCTCAAAATTAAGACATACAATAACCTGAGTACGATTTAAGAGTTAAAATGCACGAAAAGCGCGCTAAGCACAACAGAAATGTATTTTACTTAACGCACTAACTTAAGAGTCTCTCGTGAGTTGCCGTAAGTTAGTCTATTACCTACCTCCTTTGTCTATTGTATCCACCCGCTTCCACCAAAAAGATCCCTCCATATCCCTGTTGTCCTCTTTGTCAATAGTTTTGTCTATCAATATCAACAATCAACGGGCAACAGTCTGCGGGGCGATTATTGAAATGATATCGACTGTATGTCGCCGCTTTGTCGTGTCGCGCCATCGACTAAGTGGCTCTTAGTCGATGGCGCGACACGACAAAGCGGCGACATACAGTCGATATCATTTCAATAATCGCCCCGCTGGTTGTTGAAATTGATATATAGACAAAACTATAGACGAAGAAGACATAGGGAGTATGGAGCGATCCCGTTGGTTGAAATGGGTGGTTCTTATAGATAAAATGATGGACTAACTAAAGGGTCTCTCGTGGATTGCTGTTACTTATTCTTTCACCTACCTCATATGCCCATTACAACCACCCGCTTCTACCATTAGGATCCCACCATATCCCTTTTGTCTTCTTTGCCTAACGCTTTCTCTACCGATTTCAATAATCAGCCCACACCGCACTTCAAAAGGAATAAGTTTTTAGGTACATGAGATTCGGTTGTGATTGAATGGATTAAAGTTCTTGGTAGAGTCCTAAGTCAGGTCTTTCACTTGGGTCGCATTTATCAGGAAAGGAACTAGCGTGATTTCAGTGTTGTTAAAATGTTGCTACTTCATAATGATGTGAGAAAATCTTCCAAAACAGTAAACAGTTATTTCTTCCCACCAAAAAAATTAATAATTGTGTAAGTGGATCACATTTTGCAATTAGGAACTACAATTTCTGGCTCATTTTAGAAACAACATATGAGCCGTTAGTTTCGCCTATTCATATAGGTGTTTTTATCTATGAGCCAGCGATTTATAGTTCCTTATTGGAAAATTCGCTCCAAATTTTCATATTCTGTACAATGTACACATATTAAGTATTTTCAAAAGGAAGTAAAAAGTTGCACGATTTTGAAAACACTGTTATCGCGCAGGTTCCTTTTTGCTAAATGCGATCCACTTAATCTCCGATTTTACCTTGTAGAGAGGGCAACAGTGGCGCCTCCGTGTGGGGTTCCGCGAAACGAAAGAAAGATGGTCTGAATGCCAAGGCGAACCCGGAATCGAGCAAAGTTGCGCAAATCCAAACAACCTCCTTTAAAGAAGTGCGCCCGATATGTGCGCTGCAAGTACCTGGCAATAGTTCTGTTGCGCTGTGCGGTCCCACTTTCTCCCACTCACAGATCACTGATCGTCGATTGTCTACTTTGGTTCTTGGATTCACTCACCAGCCTATGCCGCGAGTAATGAGGCTATGCCACTTTTAATTGGACGTACTTATGCCAAAAGGAACTATGTCTCAGGCAAACCCTATGCAAATAGTTCCTTTTAGCATAAATCCGTCCAATTGAGAAAATTAGAGGACAAGGCGCGTAGGTGGATTGCATTTTGCAGAAAGGAACCAAGAGCATTCCAATGTCGCTAAGATTGTGTAAATTTTTTTACCTTGCAAATTTAAACTCATCATCTAAACAATCTTTATCTGTACTCCCAAAAAAGTATGAACAAGACGAAAATTATCTTTGTAAATTTAATTTTTTGCGTGATTTCAGTAATTTTTTGTGTAGAATGTGAGTTGCACAATCTTAGCAAAATTGGAATGCTCTTGGTTCCTTTCCGCAAAATGCAATCCAAGTGCAGTTCCTGCTATTTCGAGGAGAACGTGTTTAAAGTTTCTAAATTTTATAAATCGCATTTACCACGAGCACACCATGAGCAAACTACAAAAATTATCTTTGTAAGTGTAATATCTTGCGTGAATTCAGTAATTTTTGGTGTGGAATGTGAATTGCACAATCCTAGCAAAGTTGAAATGCTCTTGGTTTCTTTTTGCAAAATGCGATCCAAATACAGTTTCTGCTATTTCGAGGAGAAAGTGTTTAAAGTAAATTATATAAAGCGCATTTAGCAAAAAAGAGTCAGCGCGATTACAGTGTTTTTAAAATCGGGCGACTGCTTCTAATCTTTTAGGAATACTTAATATATATGTACTAAGAGTATTACAATTTAATAATGAACGATTAACAATTTTTTGGTGGAAAGCAAAAACTTTTTGCTGTTCTAGGAGATTTTTCGTATAATTGGATTACATTTTGCAATAAGGAACCATTACCTCTGGCTCTTCAAAAAAATCACCTATTTCCATAGGGGAACGAATGGCGTATATGTTGTTCCTAAAATGAACCAGAAACCATGATGCCTTATTGCAAAATGTGATCCAATTACGAAGAAGCAACATTTTTACATTATTGTAATCGCGTTGGTTCCTTTTTGCTAAATGCGATCCATATGAGGCCTCATGGCGGAAAGGAAGTTTAATTGCATGTTGCAAAGAGGAACCAAGAGCACTTCAATGTTACTAGAATTGCGCAACTTGTATTATTTGCAAGTACGTACGAATCATGCAAAAAATTAAATTTTCAACGGTAATTTCCGTCTTGAATTTAACGTGTCAAAATGTATTTGAATTTGCGCTCTTTCATCTACAAGAAATTACACATGTGTGTCCACCTCTATGAAAAAGGACCTTATGTCCATCTAGAAGACGTTTTTTCTTAACATTTTTCAACCACATGGAAGAATACAATCCGGAAATAGTGCAAGTTTGACCTAAAAATCTCAAAAATTAAAGGAGATATTAGAGTTTCAGTTCCAAGTCTAATATTCTTGAACGTGGTGTGTTCGCAGTTGCGGAAAATTTATCTCGCAAATAGATGAGATCCTTAATCACAGATCCGATCACAAATTATCAAAATATTCCAGATTTCAAAAATTCATTGGCAAAATTCATGGGTGGCATTTTGGCACCCGATAAATGTGCTTTGGTCAGTGGAAGCATTATTTGACGCACGATTTCATCAGGTTAAAAAATAAGCAGCCCTCTAAGAGGTTTCAGCTGCTCTATGAACTCGTTGCAAGTTGAGAAAGGAAGTCAAACTGCAAATCGATAGAAAGATATGCAACAAGTTTAACACATTTCCAGCCGTTGATATCATGCAAAGACCCTCATTAGCTCCTGTCTGACCCGCCTTCTCCG